TCCTTGTAAGCCAACGATATGTATATGTATATATGTATTGTGTGATCAACTTAATTTTTAATAGTAATTTACGCGACTTCGTGTAATTCGAACTCAGTGCTATTCAAAAGATGCCTGTACGTTTCACGCACAAAAAATGATTTTATGAATTTAAATCATTTCATTAAACATAATTTATCTGCCATTTGAAAAAATAATAATTGTAAATTGTTGTAAATAATATAAATACACAAATAAAAAAAAAAAAAACTGTTCTTAATTCAATTTGTGGCGGTCAACTTTATTTATAATTATCACAGTTGTCAATACAAATTCAAAATTGTCATGAATAAAACCAGAGGAGATTAGAATAAAATAAATATATAAAAAATTATTTATTTTATAATATTTACTAGCAATATAGATCAAAAAAAWAAAATAAATAAATAAATTTAACACAAGAAAAAATTAAAAACTGCAATATATACAATTTAAAGTTTTACTATTGATATCATCATTGTGTAACATTTGCGTACTAAGGTGAGTGATGTAACAGCAATGTGCCTTTTCTATTGGTTAATTATCATCCAAGAGGTGTMAGTGATCACCTCTGATTGGTTGTTAACACTAAAAAGTCTGAGATACACGCTGCTGCCATCTAGAGTTTTTTTATTGTAAATCCTATTTTTCTGTTCGCGTATGCGTTATAAGTTATTTTATCTAGTCGAAGCTTGTCATAGCGATCTTAAAGTTTGTAGTATAAACTTCATAGTTTATAAAAAAAAGTGGATAAAAAAGAGAATATAATAATTATAATTTCAACAATAACGTAAAAATGATGATGGATTATTTTGTAACCAATAATTCTTTAGCTCCTGCACCTATGGGAATACAAAGTACAGCAGGTGCTGTACCAGTTAAAAATGATAAAGGTTAGTAGTTATAAGATGTAATATTTTTCAAAAAAATGTTTAATAAAAATTTATAGGCATATAATGTATATGTATATATGTTCTATAAAATTAAATATTAAGTAATTAGTTTTTGATTAAGACTTCATATTTTTATTAAATGTATTCTTTTCTATTTATATAGGAGAACTTTCTATGAAAAAAGTAAAAGTTCACCGGTATGTATCCGGTAAGCGTCCTGACTATGCTCCTGTCGCTAGTTCAGAAGAAGAATCAGAAGATGAAGATTTTCTAGAAAAACGTGTTCACAAAAATTATGACGATAATGAAACCATTACTGATATTCCACATACTGCTCAAGTAGTCAAAATAAGAGACGAAGATGATCCACGTTTAAGGAGATTAACGCGATTAGAGAGACAAAGAGATTCAGTTGTAGAATCTCATATTGAAAGACAAAGACATATCCATGAACCAGAAATTATTGAGGTTGAATCAGAAACATCACGTAAAAGAATTAAATTAGAAAGTTCAGATTCTTCAGAAGATGAAGAATTATCAGACTCTGAGATAGAACGAAGACGCGAAGCCTTGAAACAACGAGTATTATCAAAAAAAGAGATAGAAGAAGAATTATTACACGGAGAAGAAGAAAGATCTGGTGACAGTACCGAAGAAAGCTCTGAATATGAGGAATACACAGATTCCGAAGAAGAAACTGGACCAAGACTTAAGCCAGTTTTTGTTAGAAAAAAGGATAGAATTACTGTTATGGAAAAAGAAAAGGAAGCTTTGAAACAAAAACAAGCAGAAATAGAAGCTAAAAAACTAGCTGAGGAAAGAAAAAGACAAACTTTCCGTATGGTAGAAGAAGCTATTAGAAAAGAGACACAAGTAAACAAAACTAATAACGAGCAAGAGGGAAAGCTTGAGGATGTTTGTACGGACGATGAAAACGATGAAGTCGAATATGAAGCTTGGAAATTAAGAGAATTAAAAAGAATTAAACGAGATAGAGAAGAAAGGGAACAAATTGAAAAGGAAAGATTAGAAATTGAACGAATACGTAATATGACGGAGGAAGAGCGTAGACAAGAAGCTCGATTAAATCCAAAAGTAATAACTAACAAAGCTGCTAAAGGAAAATATAAATTTTTACAAAAATATTATCATCGTGGTGCTTTCTACTTGGATAAAGATGATAATATATTTAAAAGAGACTTTTCCGGTGCTACTTTGGAAGATCACTTTGATAAAACAATATTACCAAAAGTAATGCAAGTTAAAAATTTTGGTCGTAGTGGTAGAACTAAATATACTCATTTAGTAGATCAAGATACTACACAATTTGATTCACCTTGGATATCAGAAACTGCTCAAAATCTCAAGTTTCATAATAATCAAGCTGCTGGAATGAAACAAGTTTTTGATCGACCGTCTCTGAAAAAAAGAAAAGATGAAAATTAAATTGAATGTAAATATATACCTAAGCATTTATATAATTTTGTATAATTTTATTTTGCTAAGAGTGTATAATTGTATATAAGAATTTTATACATAAAAATTGTTTTGTGTCTTCTGTCTTCTCCTAAAGTAGGACACACATATTAAAATATACTCTGTATATTATATTAAATAATGTATATAAATATATTTATTATTTAAATA